CATAATAACTTCCACCGAACCTGAGGAAGAAGACAATGTGTCAGTGTTGCTAGAGAATGTAAGGTCGATGAAATCCCCATATACTTCCCTATTTATAAAACCCCAATCAGTTCTTCCCGCTTTCGACCTAAAAGTCTTAACATATTCATCCCATAATTTTCGTCGCTCTAAGATTGTAGCAGGAGCCACAACCTTACCCATCTCGTCACACTAAAAAATTACTATCACAACAACCTAACAACAAAGTGAAAACACAAAGAAAAGTGAAAGAGAAACAATGTTGAACTACCTGGTGATGTCGTGTTTTTCTTGTCAGCAAGGGAGAAGAATTGGAAATTAGGACTCAAGAAATAGTAATCGAAGGATGTTATAGGGGCTATGTGAACAGACCTCTAATCAATAGGAGTAATGGTTGAGACAAGCATCCCTCTGAAAAAGTCATCATTATTTTAAAACGCTACCTTTCCATAAAAAAGTTTATCATTACGGTTACCAAATGTCTTAGAACAGGAAAACACAAACACAGAGGCAAACACGTGGCAGAAAGAGAAAGGCATCATGAAAACCTTTCACTTTTGTTCAATCGATTGATATGTATGTCCGAGACGTACATCTCAAATAAATTCCCCAAACGACCAGGTAACTTAAAGCGTCTTGCCCCTCTCAGGCCTCACGCTTGAGAAACTTATATACACCCAAGATGAACTTCTTAGACAATTACCCAAACGGCCAAAATAACTTAAAGCATCTCGCCCTTCTCAGACCGCATGTTTGATGGGCTTATGTACATCTGAAATGTATATCTCAGATAATCTACCCAGTCGCCCGATAACTCAAAGCATCTCGCCCTTCTCAAGCCTCATGCTTGGGGGGCTTATGTACATCCAAAATTTATATCTCAGATAATATACTCAGCCGCCCGATAACCCAAAGCATATTGCCTTTATCATACCTAATACTTGAGGGCTTATGTACATCCAGGACGTAATACTCTGGATCGATCATGCACCCCTCCTCCTACCAAACCGCTTTGAGTACCAAAGTGTCCTTGAGTACTTTTGGGACATACATCCCAGAAGGAGGGGAACATCCAGCCTCATAGCAAGCCACCTTGAAGTACCAAACCGTTCTTAAGTACTTCCGAGACGTGCATCCCGGAAGTAGGGAAACACCCTGCCTCATACCAAGCCACCCACGTCCATTCCTTCTACTAAGTCGTCTTCTAATGCAGGAGACATCCTCATCAAATAGACTTCAATGTCCTTTATGATATTTCAGATTACAAGGTAGTAAGGACAATGAAGAGCCATGAATACAAGATAAATTTCATATGAAGCCCGACACTATAAAAAGCGTAGCCAGGATACGATAGAAGCAAGCAATCCTTAATACACAAAATCTTAGATATAATGCTGCTTCTCCAACCAATTTCGAAAAAGTCATCACATTTTTCTTCAAAAACACAATTAAATCACTTAAATTACATAAACTTTAAATTCTTTAAATTTTTCCAGTTAATTTATCCAAACACACTCTAAAAATTTATTACTTGATCATTCATGAAAGCAATCAAGATGCTCATTTGATTTTATGATTAACCTTGAAATATATTTCAATATCGGCATCATGATGCGCGCTTCTCTTTCGAGAATATTATTTTTATTCTTATCAAAAACGATGCCCAACCATGTTTAACGTAATCTAGTTGGGTACGGCTGCAGTTCACTCATGCGCGACATGAACTTATGAAGCTCTTTTTGTTGTTGTGAATTTATGAAGCTGATGTCACTCATCAGAATTACTACAAACATTGAATTGAATGCATGAAAGATGACTTAAAAATGCACCATTTTAAACACCACAACGTGGCAACACATGAACCACTCAAAAAACAAACAAAGCCACGATTCCAAGTACAGACAGCCAAACAAAGGACCATACACACTCCATGATCCTGAAATCTATCCACATGAAATCTCCATCCTCAATCCCATCCATCCAACGGTTATAAACCCCCGCAAATCACAAACCATATCCACCATTCCAATAAAGAAAAACTCCCTCAAAACACTTTATTCCTTACTCTCACTCTCGTACTTCTCTACTCTCCCCACTCAACCACCATGACCTCCATCGCCCTCAAATCCTTCCTCGGACTCCGCCAATCCTCACCAGAAACCACCCATTTCTCCTACCGTCCAAAGCTCACCACCCACCGCCGAAAATTCACCGTAGTCGCCGGAGTATCCAGCCCAAAACTCAATGGTCGTAACCTCCGTGTCGCCGTCATCGGCGGCGGTCCAGCAGGTGGTGCTGCCGCGGAAACTCTAGCAAAAGGTGGCGTCGAGACCTTCCTCATTGAACGCAAAATGGACAACTGCAAACCATGCGGTGGAGCCATCCCTCTTTGCATGGTAGGTGAATTTGACCTACCATTAGACATCATAGACCGCCGTGTCACAAAGATGAAGATGATTTCTCCGTCGAATGTCGCGGTGGACATTGGTAGGACGCTTAAGCCTCATGAGTATATTGGAATGGTGCGCCGTGAAGTGCTTGACGATTACCTTAGGAACCGGGCTAAGGATAACGGAGCAAATATCATAAACGGGTTGTTTTTGAAAATGGATATTCCTAAAGAAAAGAATTCGCCTTATGTTCTTCATTATTCTTCCTATGATGGGAAAACTGGTGGGGTTGGGGAGAAATGTACCTTGGAAGTTGATGCTGTTATTGGTGCTGATGGAGCTAATTCTAGAGTTGCTAAGTCTATTGATGCTGGTGATTATGAATATGCTATTGCATTTCAGGTATGTTCTTCAAAACTTCATGCTCACTGTCAATTACTAGGTTTCTTTTCATGTGTTGTTGCACATAGCCTCAAAACAGTTGCCTTTTCTTTTCAATGCCAATTGAGTTCTTAAATCTGTTATTGGTTTTGGAGGTTCTGTGTAGGTTAACTCCCGTTCAACTATGACAAAGCACATATAGATCTTATTAAACCACAATTTAACATTGAAAGACGGGGAATTTTGGGCTCTATGCGAGTATGACGAACCTCCTCAAAGATGGTCTTGGGTCTTTCTATACTCAATTTTGTCAATGACTAATGTGATAGTTAAAGATAGTTTATTTGCAATGTTTTATGTGTTATGTGGTTACTATTTTTGAACAGAAACACTTAGCATTAGCATGCTTCATTTTGATGGCATGGTTAATTTTTTCAGGAGAGGATAAAAATCCCGGACAATAAAATGGCTTATTACGAGGATCTTGCGGAGATGTATGTTGGCGATGATGTTTCTCCTGATTTCTATGGTTGGGTATTTCCAAAATGTGACCACGTTGCTGTTGGCACTGGTACCGTGACACACAAGGGAGACATCAAGAAGTTCCAACTAGCAACAAGGAAAAGAGCCGAGGACAAGATCTTAGGTGGGAAGATCATCCGCGTGGAGGCTCATCCTATACCAGAACATCCAAGGCCACGGAGATTGTCAGGAAGGGTCGCGCTTGTGGGCGACGCTGCTGGCTACGTGACCAAATGTTCAGGAGAAGGAATCTATTTTGCAGCCAAAAGTGGAAGGATGTGTGCCGAAGAAATCGTGAAGGGTTCGGCGAACGGGAAGAGGATGGTTGAAGAAGGTGATTTGAGAAAATATTTGGAGAAATGGGACAAAACTTATTGGCCTACTTACAAAGTTTTGGATATTCTTCAGAAGGTGTTTTACCGGTCCAATCCTGCGAGAGAAGCGTTTGTGGAAATGTGCGCGGATGAGTATGTGCAGAAGATGACATTTGATAGCTATTTGTACAAGACTGTTGTACCTGGGAATCCATTGGATGATATCAAGTTAGCTATCAACACCATTGGAAGCTTGGTTAGGGCTAATGCTCTAAGGAGGGAGATGGACAAACTCAATGTCTGACTTATATACATATATTGATAAATTTATCTTTCATTTTTGCTTTTGTAGTAAACATGATTGATGTCTTATAAGTGTTCATTATCTGTGTAAGCAAACGGATTATTATTTTCAAGCAATCCCAATTATAGAATGGTGATTGGAGCATAGCAGAGGTTGGTTGAAAATTGAAAGCAGTTGTAAAAGGTTAGAGTTTTTACACCTTTGTATGTGGAAATATTAGTTGGAATTTAAGAGATTTGGTTTATGCTGTAGATGACTCTTTTAGTTAGTGGCTTAATTATTCCTAATCGGTTTTATATTATTAGATATATGAGGCACTTTGTTTTGATTTTTTTCTTTAAATATCATTTTTATAGTATTACAAAGAAACTTTTAATAAAAGTTTCTAATGAAAATTTAGTTTTAACAGTCATTCTTAAAATGTTATTTTAGGTATTTTAAACTATATTTGAATTAGTTTTTGAGATTAAGAATTGATTCTGCTTTTAGAATTGATTCTATTTAAAATTAGAATTGATATTTTTTAAGTTTTAACGTGATTTCATATTGGAATTTACCATTCAACTCAATTTTGCATAAAGTAATTCAAATACATTATATTCAATTTATTTTTAATCATAATCAACTTTACAAAATTAATTTATTCAAAATCAATTTTTTATCGAAGAATCAAACATCCACAATGAAATTGTTAGAAACTTATCATATAACATGTAACCTAATTTATATATCATGAATAACAAACTTTGATTATAGTTGTATGAATTAGGACATTGTTAATATTAAATGAGATGGTTTAGAATTTACCTCTTGAAACCATTGATTGTTAATTTTTAATGTGTGTTGTATGTTCATCAATCATCTTCGATGTCACTTGAGAAGGACATGAGTTTCCTCTTCTTTCTCAAACTTTGATGGGTAAACATATAATAATATATATATTTTTTCACGTGTCATGAACATATCTACCATTTGAGAATTGTTACATAACTGGCACAAGTAGAAGAACAAGTGAGCAACAAATAGATTTTAGCGTCAGTTTACATAAATGCCAATCCAAAACAAACAGATATGTATTTGAAAAACTCTACCATTTGCTTACAACTTTCTTTAGATGCTTCTTCAGAATCTGTGTTGGTTAAGAAATTTGTTTTATCTTGTGATCCTTATATGAGAGGAACCAAAAGAACAGACAGAAACAGCCTCTTTAATTCCTTCTCTCCTGAATCAGTAAGTATATATTGTTTGTTGTCTCTTCTACAGATTTTGTGATGTTAAAATGTTTCTTTCAACCAATTGTAGGATATGGAGTAAGCAAAGTGTTGGATTCTAAATTCAGATTTCAAAAAAGGAGACTTGGTTTGGGGAATCACCAACTGGGAAGAGTATAGCATCATTACAAAAACCGACAGTTTTATCAAAATTCAAAACTGACCATACTGATGTACCTCTTTTCTATTACTACCTCCTATTCTTATTATAAGAAAAAGTTATCTTTTTATGTTTATAGAAGAATCAATGTATTTAGACTATATGTAATTTAAATAAGTTGATTCTTTAATGAATCTAAAAAGTTAATTTTTTTTCTTATAATAGAGACCAAATGGAGTATATCATATGTAATGGGGTTGTTGAAAAAATAATTAAGTAGTTGAATGATTGTAATAGGTTGTTGAATTGAATGTTGAAATTGAGATGAATTAATTGGTGTTGAAAAGATTTGACATGTTGAATGAGAAGGAAGTGAGAACTATAAAAAATTTTGGCAAAATCTTATTGGTTGCTGTGATTTTTTAGATTTTTATCTCATCATAATTATTTGGGATCAATTAAAAATTTTTTTCACCAAAATTCATCATTTTTTTATACAAATAGAGATTTGGTTCATTTGGTTTGGATAGAAAAAAAAAATCAATTTTATTAAATAAAAAACATAAAAGAAAATAAGAATATGAAATAAAAGTGATGGAATAGAGTGTTGACTTTTATTTAAAAAAATCATTGTAATGAGTAAAAATTGACTTATGTTGAATTATTAGATAAAAGAGAGAAAAGATGAAGTAAAATATAATAAATTAAAAAAGAAGATATTAAATATGTAAATCATTGTAACTAATCTTATAAATAAAACTATAAAACTATAGGTAATATTACATGCTAACTAACTAAGAGAAATAGTCTTAAATTGTTTATCAAACAATCTAGTATAAGACTCTTGTACTACATTGCTTAGTAAATAATTTAAGACTTTTACTCTTACTTAATTACAATGTAATATTACCTATATCTTATTTATATGAATAAAATTCATATTTTAAATAACTAATATATATATATATATATATATATATATATATATATATATATATATATATATATATATATATATATATATATATATATATATATATATATATATATATATATATATATATATATATATATATATATATATATATATATATATATATATATATATATATATATATATATATATATATATATATATATATATTGTTATCTCTTCAGCATTTAGTGTCATTAGTCAATTAGTAAAATTGTTAGGATGTTATGTTGTTGGTAGTGTTAGATAGAGATGTCAATTTATATTTGTTAACAAGGATTTATGTAAGGATTATCTGTTTGAGTATCGAAGTTGAAGACTTTTCTCTACAGAAACGGGGATGAAGGGAAAAATTCCTTCGATGATACTTTGGAGCGGAGATTGGGAAAATATCCTCCGCCATGTGGATTCTCTGATTCCGACCATATTATTTAACTTTTATATTTTATATATTATATAATCTATAATTATATTTTTTTACATAAAAAATATTGATATTTTATTGTATAATGTATTATTTCACTATCCAAGTACTGAATCCTAGAAAAGTACACCCAATACATAGAATGTACACATCGTCTCCTCATTTTCTTTTATTAATTATCTTTGTCTCCTCCATTTATCATCTCATATATACTCATCATCATCACAACAACCAATCTCCTTTGTTCGTTGTGCTTATGATAATTACTCTTCAAATTTACTTTACTTTCATTAGTAACATGTTTTTCATTCAATTAATAAATTAGTAGTTATGGATTTTTCACACTCACACATAATCAATCACTTGCGGTGGACGACATCGGTATCGTGGTATTAAATTAGAAGTATGCTAGCAATAAATTATGTTAATATTTATTTTTTTTACAGAAAAATATTAGCAACAACATGTGCTGTTGTTTTTTCTGTTATTGATGCAAGATGTAAAATATATGTGTTTTTTTTTAAAAAGGAAAAAATAGTGAAATACTAGTGTCATAGTTTTGATCGAAAAATATAGAAATTTTCTTAAGATTCGACCTCCGTAGATCTCCGTAGGATCTGTGGAGATAGGGATGGGGGGAAATATTCCCTGTGGCGGAGATTGGAAATGGGAATGAGGAATAAATTTAGGGACGGAGCGGGGAGCGGGAAAGTATCTTCCGAACATTCTTTGCCCCGTTGACATCCCTAGTGCTGGAAGTAACTATAAGGTAGAGATTTGCATTTTTATTTCATAAGAGTAAATCATTGCATTTATTATGTTTGAGTATTAGTAATCAAAATTGGACTCGACATTTAATTGGTATAGACCAAGATTTGAGGTTTAAAGGTCTGAGAGTTATTTGTATATGTTATATAACTTAACACTAATATGAGGCAACACTATGTTCCATGTCCTAATAGTTGTCAATTATGTGAGGATGAAGTGGAAGATGAGTGTCATATTTTCTTTGATTATGCTCTAATATCTCATTGTTGGTCTATAACAGGTTTGAAGGATGTGATTAGATCAAGAATTTCTTGATGAATGGTGTGAGAACAGTTATTCAGGACATTTGAAGTAAAAAAGATAGGAATGTTGCGGGAAGAGTGGCAGTTATGTTATGGGTGATTTGGAATAATAAGAACAATTGGATCTGGAATAATGAGAAGAAAGATGTTAGCCAATTGGGAATGCAAGGGTACCCTATGTGAAAGGATTGGTTTATGGTCCAAGACGCTCACGGTGTTGGAGGTAGTGTGGGTCATCATACGAGTAATCTTATTATGTGGCAGCCACCGAGAGAGGGGTGGATGAAATGTAATGTGGATGCAAGTTTCAATAAACAGTTGGATACGACTAATAAAGGTTGGTGCCTTCGAGATAGTGCAAGAGGTTTTATTATGGCAGGTACCTCTTGAGATGTTGGGTGTTATTCTATAATAGAGGCGGAAGCCTTAGCTTTGAAGGAAGTGATTCAAAAAGTTATTCACATGCAACGGGATCGTGTTGTTTTCGAAAGTGATTCTCAGTTGGTCGTGCATGTCGTCAATGCAAGACTGATGGGTAGTTCTGAATTTAATATGATTATTACTAGTATTAATAATCTTCTTGCTTCTCACCATAACTTTGAGGTTAAGTTTGTAAAACGTCAAGCGAATTCAGTGGCTCATAGCTTAGCTAGAGTAACCAATTCTTGGTCTAGGCGTATGGTTCTATATATGATACCTCCATATATTGAATATTGTTTGAATAATGAAATGAACTAAGTTTATTGTTGTAATAAAAAACACTAATTCTTTATCACACATATTAATGGCTTTTATTGCTCTAATTTCTTTAAGAAAATCAGTTTAAGAAAAGGTTAAAAAATGCTAGAATCTTATTATTCATGAAAAAAAGTTATGTTCTAGTGTTGTCAACTTTGTCAAAATATTGTCTCAACATTATTGAAGAATTAAATCTCATGTTGAAATATTAGAAATCTCTACCTCCTTAGTAAGAAAAATCAAAATTTAGGATGGAATGGGTTAGAGCGAGACTTTCAATAATGATGTCCAACTAACTCAATAGTACCAAATTAATATTTTTATTTTAGCTTTTATCATATTTTGTTTTTAAATAAATTTAGAAAGTGCGAAAAATTCAAAAATATGATTCAACTCATGTGATTGGAGAAACCACCGGTAGACTGGTTTCTACCCTGGTTCCTTGATAGGTCAGTTATAAGTGTTTATTGTATTGGACATAGGTTATGTTTCCAGTTGAACCGGTTGGTCCAGTCATATTTTCATAACCTCACACTCTATGAACACTGACATAAACACTAGAAACAATGCTGACACTGATAATAATTTTTAAAAAAATGAATAAATTAAACGTATTTACACACATTTGCTTAGATGTGTATAGAGATCACAATTTAATTGTCTTGTTTTCATATGTAAATAATGTTAAAACTTTGAAGAGTAAGTTTGGGTTTGATGAGGCTTTTAATTACAAGGAGGAGCAAGACCTAGATGCAACATTGAAGAAGTAAGTGCATAACTAGCATTTAACTTAGTTATTCATAAACTAATTATCTTGTTTTAGGTTTTAATTTTTTTGTCATGTAATCCTAGTGGTTGGAGTTCATTTTAAAAAAATGAACAAATGAGATATCGTGGATTTGAACCCACGATCCTGCACTTGATGTTCCTGCACAACTATCAACTGAGCTGACTTATGGAAATTTAGGTTTCACTTTTTGTTGGACTTATTTTGTACTTATTGCTAAACATATACAATTTTATGTTCTATTTTCATTGTTGACAGGTATTTTCCTGATAGGATTGACATATATTTTGACAATGTTAGTGGAGACGTGCTTGAAGAAGCACTAGTTAACATGAGACGACACAATCAAATAATAGTGGTTGGAATGATCTCACAGTATGAACTTGATGAACCTCAGGGCATTAAAAATTGGTCAACATGGTATATAAGCAGATCAAATTAGATGCATTCACAATATATAATTACTATCATTTATATTCAATGTTTTTGGACATAATTTTTCCTTATATTAAGGAAGGGGAGATAATGTTGGGGGAGTTTACTAAGAAGCATTGATACATAGTGTATGATTAGGCACCTTTGTGAGAGACACACCACTTGTCCACCTAAAATCTTAAGGTGGTAGTTGAGTGGGTTCTCCCACTTATAAATGATAAAGTCACCACATTCCTATCTAATGTGAGACTATTTCCTCACTTACTCACACTTGCATTATTATTCTAACACTCCTCCCCAAGTGTGAGTCCACAATGCTCCTCCTCAAGTGGAAACTTTTTTATCCACATACACTTGTACCACCGTTGACACCTTTCAACGAGACACCATTTCCTGGGCATTTCGATACAAGCAAGTGTTGGCTCCTAAATTCGACACCCTTGTTTGTTATCAATATAGACCATTAATTATGAGTCTGAAGAGTTTCCAGGTTTCGACCAGCTGATCCTGTCGAATGCTCATCAGAAAATGGCAAGGTACTTAGAGAATTTCTTTAAGTAGGAATCTTGTTACCTTCGACGTCGAAGGAACTCCTCGACAAAGGTATCTGACACCCAGGGTGGAACGGTTTGAGATTCAAATGTTTGGAGGGAAAACAGTTCCCAGCAGTTACTAAACGCAACGTGCCAAGATCAGGAGCGTCGAATGCTGTGAGCGTGCCAAGTGGTGCCATCTCGAAGCAACGTAACTGCCCAACGGTTACTTAAGATGTGTTTTAGTATAAATACTAGTTGTTCACGTAGTTTTCGCGTGTGTTCATCATTATATACAAGTCACTCATCTAGATTCAAGTACCCAGTGTGAGCGAAACAATTGTTGAGAATGTATGTGTGAAACACCATTTAAATTAATCAAAGTCTTTTATATTCCAGCACTTTATTGCCTTTCATTTACTCTTCTCCGTCGAAGCCTTTTATTTAACGCTTTCATTTATTCTATCAAGCTTTTCTTCATGCAATTTACATAAAGTGTCTTTACTTTACTGGCATTAATCATCATTAGATTTAGTCAAACCCCAGAAAATCAACCATGTCTTAGGATCAATCTGATCGGTCCCGCGAGTCACCAAATAAGTAACCTTTTGGAAGATCAGCGGTTGTTTACCAATTTCCACGGTAAACAAATTGGCACACCCGGTGGGACCTTGTGTTGATTTTTAAGGTTAACCGTATTTATACAGAATATCATCTTTTTCGAGAAGTATTGCATGTTATTGAGAAGTGGTAGAATATACACTAACGATACCAATACTAGGAGAAGAAGAGAAGCGATGACGAATCCGCCAAACAATAGCGAAATCCAACAAACAAATGTGGGAACAACGGTTATCCCAACCGTAAGTGAAACAGTAACTGCTGGTTCAACACCAGCAGTAACGGTCACACAAACGGGGCCATTACCTCCATTCACTGGCCCCAAAATGCCTTTGGGAACTCCCCCACCAAGGGGAAACCCAGGAACTAGGCCTTATGTTCCCCCAGGATTTTCGACAGGCGGTCTAAATCGAGAACCACTCTATGGCATGCCAACTTCTGAATTGGCTAGCCTGACGAATGCTGCGTCCACTTTTTCAGACCCTTTAGTGAGCGCCTCTTCGCCACTCCAAGGTTCCGGAGTTGGTATGGCGAACAGGGGTAGGACCCAACTCTTAGGAGGAACGTCCCAAGTAGCGCATGGCCTTACGAATGCCTCGACAACAGTTTTGAGGCAGCAAATGGACGAAAGCAACCACGATATGGTTCAAATGTTGGCACAAACTTTAAGCACAGTGCTAAACCCTCTAATACAAAATACCACCCAGTCGAATCAGCAGATGACAGCGCAAATGGCGCGTCTGGCCGATTTTTTTGGGGTACCCCAACCTATTCGACAGCCCCAAAGGGCGCAAATAAGGGGAAACCAAGGTATACTTCTAGAGGAAGAAACCACTATTAACCAAGTCCAGCAGCCTGTCGAAGAAAACCTTAGGACGCGATTGGAACAACCCGGGGTCGAAGAACCTAGGGTCATAGCCCCGGAAGTAAGGATAGTCAACAGAAACCAAAATGCTGACGAAGTAGTTCAGCACATCCAATACCAGAATATGGGTTTGGAAAATAACCTAACAGCCATGATCGAAAGAATCATGACGCAAAATGGGATGAATACGGGCTTCCGTAGGCCCAACTTTACATCCCCACTGTCAGAATATGTGTTACAAACAGACTTACCTCCTAGATGTAAAGTCCCTAAGTTCACTAAATTTTCAGGGGACACGACAGAATCCACTGTCGAACATGTGGCGAGATACTTGATTGAAGCAGGAGATATTTCAAACAATGAAAACCTGAGGATTAAGTATTTCCCAAGTTCCCTAACAAAGAACGCGTTTACTTGGTTCACAACTCTTCCCCCAAATTCGATCCACCATTGGACCCAGTTGGAGAGATTGTTCCATGAGCAATTCTACATGGGACAAACCAAGATAATCCTGAAAGAATTGGCCAGTGTAAAGAGGCGATTCACTGAACCTATAGACGAATATCTAAATAGGTTTAGGTTGCTCAAAGCAAGATGCTTTACGCAAGTGCCAGAACATGAGTTAGTCGAAATAGCCGCAGGAGGCTTAGATTATTCCATTAGGAAGAAATTAGACACTCAATACCTGAGAGACATGGCCCAATTGGCCGATAGGGTTCGACAGGTAGAACGCCTTAAAGCTGAAAAAGCAAAGGCGACAAAAACTCATAAAAGAGAAAGGATAGCATATGTCGAAATGGACGATGAAGATCCAGAAACCTTCGACGAAACTATAACCGTCGAAGAAAGCGAGGTCGATTTAGCGGAACTAAAACAAGGGCCACCATACTCTTGCAAACTGCTAGTCCCCTCAAGTGGAAAAAACCCCACTGGTCCTGAAAGGGCCAACGATAGGTTCCCCAAAAAGACTTACAGTTTTGATATTACAAAATGTGATGAAATTTTTGACTTACTTGTAAAAGATGGCCAAATGATAGTACCCCCAGGGGTAAAAGTGCCTCCTCTTGATCAAAGAAAGAAAAGAGGTTTTTGCAAATATCATAATTTTCTGGTCCATAAAACATCTCAATGTTTTCTTTTCAGGAATCTCGTGCAAGATGCTATCGAAGAAGGGAGGTTGAAATTTGCCGATAAGACCCCCATGACTGTGGACTCTAACCCTTTGCAGGCTGAAGCCCATTATGCTGAACCTTCAGAGGTGAATGTGATCGAGGCGTCCAGAAGTCAGGTGAAAAGGCCAGGAATAACTATGGTCGAAGTCACCAAGGATCATGTCAACATGCCAATCTTTGGCAGTTTTTCTGGGAATCTTTCTAGAAAAACAATCGAAGCAGTCCAAAAAGCTGTTGAAAGCCCAAAACTGGAGACAGTTGGAGCCCCAAAATCTGGAGCAAAACCCAGCTCCTACTTGGATGCAGTCCAAGGCCAGACAAAGGACCTGGAGGCCCAGATGAAGCAGATGACTCTTGCCACCAAAGACACCATGAATGTCAACATGGTCGAAATCTCTGAATCAAAAGCATCAGAGGAGGCCATTAGGCAAGAGCAGGCAAAAAAAATGGCTTTCCCTCAGGAAAACGAGAATCTGGCAGATTTCCTGCAAAGATGCCAGAAGAAGAAGTCAGAAGTGATGCTGTGTCCTCGATGCAGCTCGATTTTCGACAAAAAAGCTGCCGAACACATCCAAGGTGTAAGAGCAGCAAACAGAAGAAGGGAAGGTGTTGATATTCGACATGACCCCAGAAGAACCTACCAAAAGGGTTCAAATCAAGAGAAGAGGCCACTGACTTTCAGGCCTCCAACCAATGTGCCAGTTGATACGTGGTATAAAACATCAGGTCGAAAGAGACCGAGCGGAGAAAGGTGGCACTCCTTCGAAGTGCCAAGAGGTTCATCTTTGACACACAAGAAATAACCTCAGGTTGTCGCCTCTAAAGTGACCCAGGTATCAAGTAACTACAAGGGAAAGAATCCCATGTCTCGATCCCAATGGAGAAGATACCAGAGGCGGCGAAAGGCTGAGAGGGAAGCTACCAATGAACCAAAGCCAGAATCAAGTTCAAATGTCCCTCAGAGAAAGCAGAGAAAGCCTCTGGAAAGGCAACCAGTGACCAATAGACTGGTATGGCCTAACCAGGGCGAAGTTGATGACGAAGATGGCTCTGAGTCTGATGACACCCTAGATATCATGGTGAACATAGTCTCAGTTTTGCCAAGAGAGTTCAACCGCCAGATGGAGGTCGAATCGAACGATTGGGAAGTCGAACAAGAAATGGCCAAGCATAGGCCAGTATGCTACTTCGTCATGGATAATGGCGGTACTGAAGAACAAAATGGTTTCTTCGAACCACCTACTGAGGCGATGAAAAATCACCTCAAGCCTTTATTCATAAGGGCAAAACTCGAAGAAGCCACCGTAAATAAGATCTTGGTGGACTGTGGGGCAACCATCAACATCATCCCTCACTTTATGCTGAGAAAAATAGGCAAGAGTGATGATAACATCAAGCCTCACAACATGGTCCTGTCGAATTATGAAGGTGGCATAGGGACCACTATGGGTGTGATCCAACTAGACCTCAAAGTAGGATCCATCATTCAACCAACTATGTTTATGGTCATATCGGCCAAACCAAATTATAATCTTTTGTTGGGCCGATAATGGATACATGGTGTTGGAGCAGTACCATCATCAATGCACCAAAGGTTGATACTATGGCGTCCTGATGGAATGGTCAAAAATATAGAAGCAGATCAGAGCTATTACTTGGGCGAAATAAATCACCTAGGGAGAGCTGACTTCGACAAAAATTTGGCTCACATTGGGCCATGCCCAACACCTGACTTCGACTTGGCGCCAACGCCAAATGCTTTTTGTTCCTTGTACCTGCACCCTGAGCATGGTTTTCAATGGGACAGAGAAGACTT